CCGACTGCGGCGGTCTCGCCTCCCGGGCTGCGCGGGGAGGGGGCTTTCCCCCAGTGCCTGGATCTGACTGTGAAGGACTATCTTTTTTAGTCCAAAAACGGACAAGATCTAGGTTTTCGCAGGGTCTTTTTAGAAAACGCGGTACCTTCTGGTTCCGTTAGTTGGAGGTGATTGCGTGCGGGCTTTGTGTTGGTCCTAAGTGGGAGGTTTTAATGTCGAAAAGGCTTTCCGGCCAGAAGTCATCGTTAGTATCAGAGTAGATCGCAAAGTTGATTGTTTTATGAAGATGGCTTTCCTTGGAGTCGTGAAGAAGAAATTGGCGCCGTTGCTTCCTTTGTTTGAAGGCCTTCTAACCCTGAGTCGCGCGTGACACTACGCCTTAAGTTTCCACGTAAAGGTGGAATCTTTGGCGTTGGTTAGGATGCAGAAGACAGTTCCTAAGCTAACAAATAGAGTAGCTAAGCTACACTTAGGAGTATTTGATACGGGTAACATTGAAGATAACAAAATACAGGGTTTGCTAAAATATTTGGAGGGCAAGGAAAACTTGTTAGAGAATAAAGGGAGTAGAAATTATTTTTAAGGCTTTCAGGAATAAGTTGGGTGAAATCTTTCGGTTGATTGGTTCAGGGGTGGGTGTTTTTAATACTTTTTTTGCCTGTCAAATTTCCCCTAGTTGTCAGGTAATTCTATTCAAAGGTCTTGCAAACTTGTAAAAAAAAAGAAAAAAAAATCTTAGTTGGTTCGGTAGAAGGGGCTTGCTTTTTTTTTTTTTAAAAAAAAAAAAAGCAAGCCCCTTCTACCGAACCAACTAAGATTTTTTTTTTTTTTTTTAAAAAAAAAAAAAGCAAGCCCCTTCTACCGAACCAACTAAGATTTTTTTTTTTTTTTTTAAAAAAAAAAAAAGCAAGCCCCTTCTACCGAACCAACTAAGATTTTTTTTTTTTTTTTTAAATAAAAGTAAGGACGATTAAGTATCCGAGGAAAGAAAAAAGTAAGATCCCATTTTGAGACAGTTGGAGAGAGATTGTCACTAAACAATTTGAAATTTTCAAAATTGGGCCTATATTCTGGGGATCGAACTCGGGACCTTTTGCTTTTGAGGCAAGTGGCGGCACCACTGAGCTCAATCCCCCGCCCTGGCCTATTTATATTATTAAAAGATAACTGTTCACGATCCTGAATGGGAATTTGCTAAATTGAAAAGGGAGAGAAAAATGTTAAAAAATAGTATTTTTTAGTATAAGTACTCGGACTTTCTGGAAGAGATTTCCAAACTTTGAAGTTAAGGATTAGACACGTTGTTGGATGGAAGTGTTTGTTTTCCAGATGTAACTTTTAAACGGTAGGAAAGAACTGAAACAGACAGTTCTTAGCAAAACCGTGAAGTTAAGTGGCGCAGTTTCAAAAAATAATACAAGATAATTTAAGCCCCAGCGCTGTACACTTAAGGCCAAAAATAGTGCTGTCCAGGCTGACTGGCTAACCTTCCCTTTTGTAAATTTTTTTAAAAGACAGTCTCATTATATAGTTCAGGTAGTCTACATCCACTTCCAGAGTGCTGGAATTACAATTGCCAACGTCCAGCTAATTCCTTTTGAAAGTGATTGTGTTCCAAGGGGACTAAAAAACATGTTAAAGATAGAGAACTTTTGGATATACTCCTATAAATAGCATCTCTGGAGCCTGGAAAAGGGATTTCATTGATCTCTAGGTTCCTAAGCATTCAAAACTGTTACTGTGAAGACAAATCTCTTCAGTCTGACTTCATTTGTCAGTCTAGTAACTCGTAAGAGTTTCCTCCCCTTTAACGTACAGTGGTTTCTTCTGAGATTGGATGTATTTATCTTCAATTTGAGTGTTGGGTAAATATATTGACACTTAGAACTATGATTCCTCATCTGTGATTGTGTTCATCTTTAGTATGTGGGATTTAGTATTTTTACTAGTGAAGTTAGTTGGCTTCCGTAATTGATCAAACCATACACAAAATAGTGTCATTTTATGTCCAAATTCTCAGTATTTTTTCCAAAAATGGTTCACATGTAAAAGGAGTTGTCTAGCACCTTTTTTTAAATTAAAGAGGTACTCTTAGCAATTAAATCATATGTCACAATTTTTAATCATAAAAATATGAGAGTTTTGTTAGTAACTTTAGAGGTGTTATATTGGGATAGTAACTCTTAAAAAACCCCAAATTAGCCGGGCATGGTGGCTCACGCCTGTAATCCCAGCACTCGGGAGACTGAGGCAGGAGGATCGCTGTGAGTTTGAGACCAGCCTGGGTTACATAGTGAGTTCCAGGGCAGTCTCAAAAAAACAATAAACAAACCCAAATTGTCACAGACATAATTATTTTGTACAAATGAACCTACCTCAAGAATCCAGAAACAAAGAAAACACTATAGTGTATGGACTAGATGTTTTAAATTTAACATAACTTCAAGATTATTACAGTAGCAGTTGGCTCTGAAAGAATATTTTTTGTATCGTTAATGTGTTTTTGCAACATAGGCCCTTTTTATTCTTTGAAAAGATAGCTTCTGGATACAATCCTAGCAAATTGCCTTTACAATTCTGCCGTTTGTCTCTCCTTATTCTTGGGCTCTGTTTCTGTAGTTAGGTGGTAACTCAACTCATGTTCAAAACTGAAGCACCTCTTTCTGAAGAATTGTAGCCATCTTACCAAATTCCTTTTTAGAAGGATTAATTAGAAGTTAGAATTAGTTTAGCTTTGTTTTGTATCACTGGCTAGGTATGAGTCTTGAAACCAGGTTGAAATACTTTTCTTTGGTTTAAGTAGCAATGCTTTAATATTGTGGATATAGTTTGGCGCTAGAAGGTGACTTTTCAAACTGAAATTACAAGGTGAGTATTGCTGACTTTGTTTGAAGAGGAATTCAGATGGCAATAGATGGGTCGAAGGATTTTACCTTGTTTATGCAGCACCCCTTAACACATAAGACCCCAATCCAGGCCCAAGAAGAATGTTACTACTGTGTGTACTTTGACAGTTAAGTTCCTGTTTTGCCCTAAACAAAGAGCAGCAGTTTTATATGTCTCTTGAGCCTTAGCATGTTTTGTTAGGTTGATCTGAGTTTATACATAAAATACTATTATCTAACAAGGTATGGTGATTGATGTTAAGAACTCTTAAAAGTCTTTTTAGGTTTTGTCATCACTTTGTATTTTAAGCTGCAAGTCAAAAATTTCTTCGCTGTAGCAAATTAGTCTTCAAATTCCCAAAATCTTTGCTTTGAATTGGGTTTTGGAGGTTGTTTTCAGGTTAGTTTTATCAATGTAGATGATGGCAACTTCAATGAGGCCCTTGTTGCTTTAAAGTTTTTTATTAGGTGAAAATACAGTCTTCAAAACATCAAAAAGCATACTTGTTTTTAATTGAACAGTATTGGGTGTTTTGTGCTTGTAAATTTAAGGATCTGCTGTTTTGCAAGAGATTTCCTAAAAACAGCTTACAAATGTTTTAGGCATGAAAGATGGATTTTTCAGAGGCTGTTTAGCCTTTTGAGGAAATTTTTTCCCCCCTCTTCTGGTAAAAGCATTGACCTTCCTATAGCAAGATTGAGTCTTTCTTTGCCCCCTCCCATTTATTAAGATATTAACAATTGTCCAAAAATTACATACATGTTTAATGTTAAATGGACTACAGTGATAGTCCCTAGAAACTAAACAAAAATCATGCTGATAATGGGATAAGATTATTTCTAAATAGGGTCTCTCTCTCTCTTTTTTTTTTTTTTTTTTTTTTAGAAATATGACATTTTAGTAGAAGAAATAAATATTCCAGTACATGGAACGTAAAAACTTGACATGGGGGGGATCACTCTGTAGTGTATATTAAAAATAAAACATAAGTGGCCACTTGAACTTTAGAAACTGAGTTGAAATAAGCCTGGTTTTGTTCTTAGAACATAACAGAAGGAAGAAGTTGGAAAGGAATAATGAAATAATAGCAGGAAAGTGTCCAGGTTGGAACAGTGATGTCAAGAATTTTGGCCTCTATTCCAGTATCTTCTGCTTCTAGGCTCTTTATTTACATAAACTTTTAGGTGGCCTAAGGAAACCTGCTTGGGCATTCTGATTCCACGATTACATTAGTGCTGCCAACAAACATTTACATTTTAGTGATGTATATTAAAACCAAACTGTGACTCCCTTAAATAAAAACCTACTTAATTTTTTCTCAGATTAAACAATAATTGACTTTACAACTAGACTAGAAATTGTTCTTGTATTTTGTTAGGCATTACAACACTTGCCAGGATAGTCATGGTTGTCGTTATGCTTAGGTATCTATAAAGACTACTTTTTTTCCCCAGGAGGAAATGATCCATGGTAAAATGAAAGATCATTTTCAAATGAGATTCAAGCAGGATAAGAGAAAAATTAGAATGTTCTACCCAGGCACTACTAGTATGTATACATCCAACAAATTAAAATTTACTGTTCTGAATTCTTTTATTAATTATGTGAGGAGGTGAGCAATAACTTTCTCCTGATATTGCCACCTTTAAAAGTATGATTTCTCTCCTTTTTTTTTTTTTTTTTTTTTTTTGGTACCAGGAATTGAACTCAGGACCTTGTGCTTGCAAGGCAG